CATCTTCAGGGTGGACATCACAGCAACTGCTGTTGGTTTATTCACATAGGTGCTAAGAAGTCTGCTTAATTGAGCTCTTCCTCACAGAACAATTATGCCTACTAAAGTTTTCAGACGATGCCCAGCTGCTTGCTCAAGTAAAAGCTGCACTGGCTGTGTTCCGAAACTCGCTTTATGTGTTTACTGTATTGATTGTCGCATAGTCACGGCCCCATACTGCTTCTACAGTGGCGAGCATGAAATATGAAAATCCAGGCAGAGCGCACTCCAAGCCGAATCCCCAGATCTCTTCAATTTCTTTGCTCATTCGAGTTCTGTGTTCGAGATGGTTTTTACCTTCTCCCTCGTTAGATTCTCTTTGGTTGCTCTTTGCAGTATCCTTTCAAAACGTTCTCTGATACAGTGAAGAGTAGACCGTACTGTGTACATGGGAGTGCATGGGGATCGCAACTAGGAAGCCTGGGTGTGGGTATTATACTTGATCCGCTCACACCGCACGGCAGCTCTACGTCGCCTGCTCTCTTAAATAGTGCATCTTATCATAATCCATTGCCTTCGATAGTTTTTTCCTTTGCCGATCAGCATACCCTTTGATTCCCTCACCTCATGATCTCATCAACTGACCCGATTACAACGCTGACACCGAAAAAGATGTCTCTCACAAGTTCTTGTTCGGAATCATCAACATCAAAACAGAGTCACCTTGGTCAAATGGATTCTGCTCAATTCGAGGAGTTGGGAGGGTGACAAGAAAATTTTGCGTTTCGCTCAATACTTGTCCATGATGTTGGCACACTCTACGACCCAGGCGACCAAGGCGACCCAGGGAATTTTCCAATTGAGCAGCGTATTATATAGGGTTCATCAACCTTTCAGGGACAAAGTGAGCATACGCGGCTATAGACGAGCAAAGCCATGAAGCGATGGAAAAAGCTACTCCTAGTAACTCCAGTCAACCTTCCCATTCAACGAAACTCTCTCAGCTCATTCCGTGCCCTACGGAAAACCGAAATTTCCTGACCCATTTTGTTGTTTTATGTTTGCTCTGGGCCAGAGAACGAGGAGCGCTTTTTTCCTCTCCTTTTTCCCTCCTTTAATCCTGTGCGGTCACATGGCGGCGCACTGGGGAAAACTACTCGAAGGAATGGTGAGTTTGGTGAATTTTGCCTCGCGTCTGGGGTTAGAAGCTGTTTTCGTGGAATGAACAAAGAGTTATACTTGTGATTGAGTCCTCGGAATGATCTGAGCCATCTCTGTTACACCATTCCGCTCTGTTTGTTTTCCAATAAAAGCGCATCTCCACACGGCAGCCTTTCTTTCAACCTCAGTCGCTGATATCTCTGGCGATAAACGAGTTCTTATCAACAACGCTGTGTAACAATAGGTTGGTGTCGGATGCTGCACGGATATGTGAAAAGTCGAAGACCGGAGGGAGTCGGCCTACCTCGCTGCCTCTAGAAAAAAAAGGAGCACGCCTGTTGGTTTTAGTATAAAAGATCGAAAGCCGATGCAATGCTCAAATCCACTCAATCCCATTAGAATAATCTCAACCTTCTTTCAAAATCTTCTAAGCTATGTGTGAAATGCTTTCCAAACTTCTCTATTCAGTAAATTAGAGACTGCGAGGGAAAGTTTAGGCTCCATTTCCCCTCATCATACCCTTTTCTTTTGAGTAATTGTGTAATTGTTAGATCCATTGGAAGGTTTGCTGCCACGGTTATCTACAAAAATTGAAATTATTTGTAGTAAAGCTAGTTGGCCTAGACAGCTGTGTCTTCATGTTGGTTCGCCTTCCAATTACGTTTAGGTATCGATAAACTGATACCACCAAACGATCATCGATCCTCCGGTGGCTCAGTTTCTCGATGATAATGAGCCCATTCGAAAGAAAAGACGTAGAGCATAAAGAGGTTGTGAAGAAAGGATCAATAAATAGTTCGTTTTGCTATTCTTAGATCTCCTCCACAACCTAAACAAAACAATCGGGAACCGACCACAACCCTTGAGAGGGCCCTTGGTAGATTCTGGGTTTCAGGGGCTCTCCGACTGGGAGGCAAGGGAAGGAAAGGAATGGGCAATTTTCGAGAACTGTGCGACACCTTTTCATCTGACCTGTTCTGGAAGTACTTACGAATATCCTACCAGCAAGCTCTATGGTCATCTCAAGACGCTACTCCAGCTTGAAAACGAGACGACGAGAACGTACTAGCTTAGACCCAGCTAGCTAGGTTAGAGCTAACCCATGCAAAGCTCAAGCTTTTCGACTGGTTTGCTGTAACGACCTTTCAAAAATACCCTTCACCTTACTGAAAGCAAATGAAAACTCTTCCAAGAATTTCCTCCTCATACTTTACACACTTACCTACCTATATCTTCTTTACACTGGGCACATCTCAATCTAGGTATTTTCTAATGAAGAAATAGTGAGGTGTTTGGATTGATCAATCAAAAGTTGAAATACCGAGGTGTCAGTTGGTGCGTTCTTATCATGAATTGGTCCGGAGTTTCTATGGATTGAGCTGCCTCCAATGCTTCATCTGCTCCTCATACCCCACATTCCGAACAACAGCTTTCTTCCACCTACCTGCGGTAGTCCTCTCATTCACTGCCTCCAGTCAGGCTTGCCCTCTGCCCTGGAGCTCTTCATTTCTGATCCTTTCGATTGCACTCCTGCTCGATGACTGCCTTAATCTGCCTGGTGATCCACATATAAGTGATGAATCGAATCCACCGAGATGCTACTTGCTACTACTACAAAGTATCCCTCAAATGAATCCATCACTACCTTTCGCTCTTTAGTTGCATGACCTGTTCCATGACATCGCACCTAATTGGCTTTCATTAATCGTGAAGCACGCAATGGTTTTTAGAGAGAAGTGGCTGAACATCACAAGTACTTTTACAGGTTTCTTCTACGATTCCAAAAATAACTCTAACGAGAATGAAGTCGAAGAATATTAAGCTAAAATGACCTTTTCCTATAATTGATAGCTATTTGTGTTATTCCATTCATATCGCTTCCTCCTTAACTTCCAATATATCTTCTGATTCGAATGGAGAAGTTGCTCTACTCCACCTCTGCATGAAGTTATTAGCTAATCGTGACTATCCAACAGCTGTTAGTGCAGTTGCGTGTACTCAATGGTTATTTTCAGTACCACATAAAGACAATTTATCAGTTCGCTCTCGGCGTAGGCTACTTGTTCAGCGAGGTAACCGACATAGCCGTCCGACTACAGAACCAATCGAACTATTGATCATTTTCGCTCGGTTTCTTTTTTTTTTTTTGGAAAACCCTAAATCATGCCTCATTCCCATCGATCTCTGATAGTGTTTCGGTGGAACACGGTTTTAAAGCAGTTTAGTAAGAGCTCAGTTTGTACCACGCTTCTCACCGGTGTTGGAGGAGATGAGTCAGTACCTCTGTGTATTATTAAGCTACAGCTAGATTCTCATTCACTGTTCAACGCTATAGTACTGCTTCTCAAGAGCCGAACCTCCTCTCAGCTTGCACTGCAACACAAAAAACAACCTTGTTTTCGAGAATGGAAACAAAGTTTGCACGATGTGATAAGCCAAGTGTATCTCGAAGAGACGTGGACCGTACCCAGGGGAAACTTTATTATTTAATCTAAATGCTTCACATTGTGCTTATTATTGCACCTGTATATACTAAGACTTCGTAACAAGTGCCAAAGCAAATTCTCAGATCGAAGATTTAGAGATATGCCCACGCATTCCCAGAATAACCTGGAAACTGCCTCCAGGTAAGTAGGGCATTGGTAGGTGGGGCAATTCTTTCAACTGCTTTTTTTCAACTGCTTTTTTCCTTTCGTGTTCTTCCGGACGAACCTTGTGAGGTCTGAGTGTCTCTTTCATCTCATATTATTGGTCGAAAGTTCACTTCGTTGTCTCGAAAAGACGGCTCCTTCAAATAAGTTCGGATGCCTATTTGACGCATAATGGGGTGAACATATGAGAGAGCAATTCTTTGTGAGTTATTCGCCATTAAACCTGGGCATGACATGAATCTCTTGCCCTGGTTGTAAAACGATTTGGCGGGGTATTTCCGCCAAATCAGCGCTCACAAGCTGTGTTCTAACCCTTTTGCTTTGGTGACATTCCTCAGTTAACTTTGTTATCACAACTTCTTACATTCTCTTTCCCTTTTCAATCCGCGCTAGTGGGGCTCCATCGTACGTTCAATTACTATGAAAAAAGTCTTCATTCTTGTAGACTTGCCCTTTATAAGTACCTGCGTAAAAAATTCATGGTGATTATTGCAGTTGTACATCAGTTCAGTGTCTATATGTGGTCCTATGCCGTTACATATTTTTTGTTGGCACTTCATTCCACACTCCGCTAAGCCTACTTCAGGCAGTGACCCTGCCCACGCATATTCAGCCACCATTTTCACTATGGGATCATTCCGAAGCATGGAAGTAACCACATAGATCTATCGTCGTTTTTGTCTTTTATTGCACAATTGTTTTTACCACTTTTATCTACTACATTTTGGGTTCGTCTCCGTGTTGCGGCCATATTTTGAGACTTATGAGGTGATACCACAAATTTAATAGTCTATCATCGTTGAATTACCCGTCTCACAGGTGGCTCGACCACAACTCACCGTTATTTTTCGCAAGCTCTCTCTTGGACTCTCTCTTGGATTGGAGCCAAAATGCCATTGATGGTACGTGCTTACCTCTGACCGTAACTTATCAAGCTAGACGTGCTCGCTACTTTATTCAGTCAGACGTGAAGTTCCGTTCGTACCTGTCGGCTCCCAAAACTGTGGGCCATGAGGGTTTTACATGCATTTGAATCGTATATACTTATTTTTGCAAAAATCACTGGAACAAAGATTTTTATTCAAAGGCCGCTTGAGGCGACATGAAGGCTACTTTTTAAGGAAGTGAGCTCTTGCCTGGGTATCAGAAGCAGTAACGAAAAGCTAAAGTAAATATATTATCAAAGGTCTTACAGCAAGCTTTGCTCCAATGAATGGGATAAAATGGCTGCAGCAGCTTGTATGTGAGCTAACAGCCGTATTTCAAATGAAAATTGTCCAAGTTGAAAGGAAGGAAAAAAACGTTTTACAACGGAGACAAGATAAAAGCCGTTGTATTGTCAAAAGTGCTGGCGTTACATTTAAACATAGAAGAAACTTTTTTTGCATACAGGACGATGCCTGTTGGCAAACCCAGCATCGCGTTCCGCCCGAGGTCCAGCCGCCTCAAATAGGGAAGATCTCGATTCCAGAGTTCAACGATCTTCATGAAGTTCATGTGAGTGTAGTGCTCCGAACATTTCTTATACACCTTCATTCACTGTCAATGTATCTTTCCCAGAATCATATTAAAGGAGTTTCTATTCAGTATTGAAAATCGGAAGGGGAAAAAATGTTCATGGGCCATGATGGGATTCACCTATGCGTCGGTCAGAGTCCCATCAATCCAAATGAATTCTTTTTCATTTCAGAAGACTGTGATCGTTAACAAACCTCAATCCTACCAGAAACCAAAATGGAACGAGTTCCCTGAAGAAGTGACACCGGAAATCGGAGCTGCGCCGAAGGTTCATACGCAAGAATGGAACCCGGTCAATCAAGTAAGCGTTGAAATGTCTTCAGCTTTGCATCTCTTACAGTACACGCGACTATGATAAGGTCTCCATTGACTTGTCCACAGGATGAACCACTTATGCTGTTTTACCTATTGACCTTTGCTCTGAGAAATTCATCATGGAAGTTATCCCTTTGAGACGAACACAAAACCATATCAGGAGGGAGTATGAAAAGACCAAAATTAAAATGACCAGATCAGGGCTTCATGAAATTATATGGCAACATTACCGGCCTAACTGGGCATCAGTGGAGAAATATCGACGGAAACCCTATTCAAAACTAGTGAGGGAACAACTTCATCATAGTAGTGGGAAGCCTCAGAGCCGAGAATAACGTTCAGTAATAGGGGCAGACAACGACGCATTTTGATACACGGGGAACTCTCGGAAAGCTAATTTGGGAATATAGAAGAAGATGAGCGTGGAAAACCGAGTGTACCACTGACGAAATGTTTCGTGGACGAGTTACCCATGCCGCAGTCGACCTATTATAGTTGCGACGGTTTGAACGAAGGCATGTGATGACCCCTGTAGGCCAACATCCTAGGGCGTCGTGGTTGAATAGGTATCGGTAATCCTGCTCAGCAGGATGACGACTAGGATGTTTGATTTGAGGGTGCTTTGAAAATTTAAAGCAGGCAAATGAATTTCTTCATGAACCACTTCCATCAATTACATGATGCTCATAGTCGAGCAAAGATTAGATGCTCTTCACCGGAAGCCTTGGAGATTCTACGCGGAAATGCCGGTCTGCCATTAAGCACACGTGTCTTGCAAAAATTGAAGGTTGTTATTGCACTTGATAACCCCGGGCATGGCTGGTGAGGTAGGTACGGAGGGAGATAGCAGTAACGCTGGGCCCCACGCACGGTTTATCAGATACAGACCGTGGTTTTTACCGAATTTTTTTGATCATTCACAAGTTTCCGTCCTTGCTGGTCCGACCATGAGCACATTTATTTTGAACTAGCCCCAAAGGCATTCATGCAGGAGGTTTGTTTTTCAAGACGTATCCATCCATGCGGAAGAAGCAACCAAACCTCCAGTTAGGCCATAACAACAGAACTTTTGAAAGGAAAAGAGTGCGTTTGGCTCGCACTGCTTCGTGGTTTAGCCGAAGTCCACACATCAGAAGGAAGCAGGAATTTCATCCGCTCAGTTTCATTTTCGAGGCCATGACTTCAACTCAATCCAAGTAACGCCCTCTCCGTAACTCCGTCGACTAACTTTTCTGAGTCAATGAGAAGCATCGACGCGATTTTCACATAGAAGAAGTTAACATTTAAAAAGTCATCTATATTCCACCCAAAACTATCGCATTACCCCGCCACTTCTTGCATCCCAATTGAATAGCTCCCTCTTGATGAATCAGTTGCTGATGGTGAGATACTTAGTTTCCCCTCTATCACTTTATTTTTCACCTTTTCTTTCTTTCCTTCTTCCTCCCTCACTCTGACTGTGGGCAGTTCTCGACTAATCAAAACGGTTTAAATGAAAAGGATGTTTAGAGGACAGCAGGTTGAGCGAATTCACTTCCCAGCCAAGTATGCAAAGGGAAGAAAAAGTCTTCCCGTTATCGTGCGTTATGTACGAGAGCCCGCTGGGTTTCCTCCTTGCGCTTGGACATCCAACCGTGCAAGGCCGGTCAAGCTAGCCTCCGATGAATTTCTCTTACTACTTTATTGGCCACAGTCTAAGTTTAGCCACGGTCTGTTTCAGGAAAACACTGAACTCCAACGAAGCGTCTATCGCCCTGGCAAAATCTCACATAACTGGCCTCCTCCAGAGAGGGGAATTCCAAAGATGACGTGAGTCGCAGTGGTGTCATATCTTACTTCAGTTCGCTTCCAGTCATTGAGTGAAACTATGCTCGTTCTCTTTCTCAGCTAGCTTAAACTTCTCGTTTTTTCTTAATAATCAATAATCAGTAAGCTTCTTTCAGTGTCGAAATTCGTCCCGTCAAGCCTGGAGATGATGCAGGATGGATTCAACAGGTAGTTTCATTCGATTTTGACGAATAATAAAGAAATGCTGTTCATGGGTGGTGGTTCTCAGAAGACTAGCCAGTCTGGAAATTCTTTGTGGTGGTTGAACATCCTGAGGATTTTGTTTGATGCGCCGCGAACTTGAAAGACTTCAGTAAGGCTTGACCTAGCGCGGTCCACTCATGTAGTATTGCAGTTGACAGCTCCGAGTAAGACGATTTTTGTATCAAAAAAACTCTACATTTTATGCATAACGCGAACAGCGACTGTTCTTCCGTACAGAAGGTGGAAAACGGTCTTTTTTTCCAAACATTTTGAGTTGCTCCAGGAATTTACTTTTTTGGGTTCCAGGAGCAGAACGAGGTTGTCAAGTCCACAGGTTGGCAAAGAGATTCGAAAATCGATCGTGTATGGCCCCCACCGGAAGGAGAAACTATCACATCTGTTTACTCAGGTCTTTGCTTCGCTATATTCGCTTTGAGCAGTTCCCTGTAGTACTATGAGCATCATCCACTTTTCAGGTCCTCAGCATATGCGACCCGTTCAATGGCCACCAGCTGAAAGCGAGGAGCATGCCCAGCAACAGGTGGAAGTTCTACAGAAGCATATTCCGGCCAAGAAGATGGAGTATCAGTGGCCACCACCACCTCCAGTTTATCAGGGTGATTCAGAAACGAATGGCTTCAGTGCGTGAACACTTAACTCTGCTTTTCAATTTAACATTCTTTCATCGCTTCCTTTTTTTTCTTCGGCTTGTTTGCTCTTCTACAACAGTGCACGTTGTGATTACTGTAGCAACCGTAGCAGCACTACAGCTAGGGCTAACAATTTTGCTCACATAGGCTGTTACTACAGTTCATCTGCTGGTCCGCATTCTTGCTTAGGCTACGGGCGGTTTCACCCTGACACCAGAACTCCTGGTTTCGCTCGGAGAACGGTTAAACACAAAAAATATCGCGTTTCTGGTTGGGGTGGGTCAGTGTGGGAAACCGAACAGAAACGCGTATTCGTGTGTTGTATGAAATTGATGAACATTAGTTGAGGGTGGGAGGAGGTGAAAAAGGGGTGTGATGCTTTCTCATAACCGTGTCGCTTCTACCTCACATCTAATGCTTACTGCCAAAAGCTAACGGTGCCAATTCTGTAGTAGGGCTGCCTGCCATAGAGTAACAGTCAGATGAACATCGATCTAGAGCGCTATTGCCTATTAACACCCTGTCCAACGTAAGAAAAGAATAAACGTTTTAGTTGTGAACGGTGATGTCCCGACAGGCGATGCTCATCAACAACAAATCGGCAAGACCACAACTACTACAACCACCACAACAAGGAAGGTCGCACCTCCGCCGCCGGTAAGCAGGCAGGAAAACCTCTTGCTCAATCATGGGGATGAAGGCCTTCGTTTTTGGAGGGCTAGGAAGAGACGTGAACAAAACAGAACTTCTTATCTGCTACCCTCAGACCATTTCCCTGATCTACGGTTATGGGACATCTACCATCAGCTTGCACGATAACGTTGACTGTTTTAGAACAGAGAAAATCCGTGGCTTCGTCATAAGGAATCTTGAAATTACTTCATCTAATTTCTCGTCTTGCGACGTTTACAAAGCGCTGTGAACTCAAAGGCTGCTTTCATAGTCCGCGATTTGACCAGCGAGCAAGCGACGGGGCGGCGCTTACCCCTTGTTTACAACTGAATCTCGGTCGATACCGCCGGACGAGTAGCGGGCCAAATCGTGAACTATGAAAGTAGCCAAAGGTGTTCACGTATGACTGAATTTCACCACTGAGGGGGACATAATGTCACCCCACTTGAATCGGTGCGAATCATCTCTTGAGCATTGTTGCCACCTTAGTTATGGTCGGAATGAAACCGGCCCGCCTCTGTGTCTGGTTCCAACGGCAGGGCCCCAACGGTACACCCCTGTCGGATCAAAAATTTATTCAGAAAGTTTGCCTGTTAATGCCTTCTAAATTTTCGCTGCCTTGTTTTTTGAAAAGTTTTGCAATCAGGGGTAACGTCGAACCGAAAAGCTGTTCTGAATGGGAAGGATTACTCCCTCCCCTTCGGTTGCATAGTTCATGTTTACATCATTAGGACCAGAATTGGACTTTTCCATTTCCAGTGAGTTCTGTAAAGGGAGACATATCTCTAGGAGGAAGCTCCCAGATAAAACTCTTTTCCCCTGTGATGAATATCTCTGTATATCCTTCCATCTCTGGGATAGAAACACAGGTCTTCTTTGCGAACGTTCAAGATTATTCAACATTTGTATGTTCAGGTGAAACAACATACAGTCCGCGTCAAGTGAGTCAACTCCTCCATCCCACTCTGGAACATCATGGTCATTATAGAAATGTCTGTCAACGATTTACTTGCATATATGCATATGTATTTCAGCCCTATTATAATTTCTTGTGCTATCGCTTTTTGTTAGTGCACTCGACTGCGAACAGCAAAGCAACCGCCTTGTAATAAATGTAAGAACTTGCATTGTTTGTGAATTGAAAGGATATGCCAAACGTCAAGGCGCATCGGACGAATTCCACCATTCTTACAACTGCTCCGTGTCATGAGGGTAACTACGTCGAAACAGCAAATTCCTACTCTTGACCTTGCAGTAAAGTTCATGATTTACACTTTCACATGCGTACCACGTATTACGTACTGACCGCTGACCGTAATACTGGTCCAACACTCTACCAATGCTGTTGAAAATAACTTAAATAAAAACGTTGTGACCCAAGGATCGGAAATGTGAGTGCTACCAGTTGATATCAGACGGTGGCTCCGTATACCGTCGTCTAGGTCGACGATCCCTATCTCCAGTAGCCCTCACACTCTTAGGCATCTTTCATAGTCCACGAACAGTCGCGCGACTGGTCGTGGACTATGAAAGATGCCTTAGACGACTTTCTAAGTTGAGAATGCCCTTAACTGACAAGGGTAACAAGCGGGACCACCAAAAAGTGTAATCCGCATTCTATCTTCAACACCAGTAACGGAGACATGGATTTACTCATCTAATTATATCGCTTAGTTCACCTGTATCACCTGTTGTCCTGCCCATCATCGATGTCCCCGAGCGAGCGCCAGTAGCGTCCCGATTCAAATCAGCGGGTAACTGTAAACACGAACGGAGATGATACTGGACCAATGCTCGAGCAACTTACCCTTAACTGCTCACTGAGGGACGTGCACTACGTACGTTCGAGGACGCGCACGGCAAAGTGCGCGACGATTTGAACGACTCTGACGCCAATTTTTGGGGCACAAACTCGAAGTATGGTAGGTTAGCAGGGTCAGATGAACCTCCTGATCTACTCTACTTCAAATGTGTGCCCAATGATAGGCACTGAAGTCGTTCAAATCGTTACGAACTTCGCCGTTTAATTTGCCGTGCACATCCTCGGACGCATGTAAGTCCATGTACCACTGCTTACTACATATTACCACGTCACACCTCTTGAGTTCTCAACAGTTGCTATGTGCTTTCTGGTAATTCGAGTGAAGTGACCCAATTTCGACCAAATAACTGCCACAGACTCCATGCATAATTGCTTCATTTTACATGAGAAGAGAAGGAAATTTCAAACGATGAACACTGATGATGCAAAGAAGAAGGTTTACGATGATGACTATTTCAACACAATGCACAAAATATGTGAGGCCACGTTCAAAACTCGCACACGCTGATGCCCTAATGCATGCGCCATGCATGTGCAACAACGGTGATCGCAACAGCGATTGCACGCTCAGTTCCAAACTGAACGTATCTAACTCGCAATATCGTACAACACACGTTCAGCATAGTAGGTGAGTAGACGCCTGCATAGCACAAGCTCTGAACGCCGCCTAACAGAAAAGAATTCAAATCGCTTAACACAGTGATTCGGTGAATAGGCGATAATATGCACGTTGTAAGATGAAATAACAGAATTTCCACCTTTCTATATACAAGTATCCACAGCTAGGAAGATAAAATTGTACAACAAATCATGCAAACACTTCTCAACTTTGGTCACTAACCCACATGAACCCAGCACGAAGCAAACCGTAACTAGAGAATTTAATGATCAGGTGCCAACTGGATAGGACTTCGTGATGACTATAATCATGAGAAGTCACCACAATGATCATAGTCAATTCGGACTGTCCGACAAACCAGAATGGCAAAGCATTGTTATGTATTGAAGAGATCAGCCAAAATCATTCTTACAGTAACGAATGGATAGAAAAGAAAGAGAGAACACCACAGACCTCTAATAAATTTCCATAGAGCAATCATTGTGATAATGAAATGGACAAAATGAACTCGAAAGAGTCGTAATCACAGATGGTCAAGTAAAAAAA